CGTAACATGTATATCGTAACATGTATATCGTAACGTGTATATCGTAACGTGTATATCGTAACATGTATATCGTAACATGATATCGTAACGGTATATCGTAACGTATATATCGTAACGTAATATCGTAGCTGCATATATCGTAACGTGTATTTCGTAACGCGTGTATATCGTAACATGTTTATCGTAACGTGTATATCATACGCGTCAATATCATGGCGAGTATCGTAACGTGATATCGTAGCTTGTGTATATGCTTGGCGTGTATGTCTTTAACGTGTACATCGCAACGTGTATATCATGTATTTTATCTTAAAAGGAATTCAAGTAAGACCCTACTTGCAGCATTGAATTTTGTTTATAAATGTTTAATAAAATATTGAAAGTAGAAATTGAAAGCCAGGATTTTCTCACGCCAATTGAATGACTTTTTTTAACTAATATAGGTGTTTTTATGATTATAGTTCAAATTAAAATAGACCATCGGGATCCATTTTGAATACCTCATGCAGTTACTCATACCTATAAGTTAATTTTAATACTCATCTACTCAACGTACAAACCACAAGAGACATAGGTCAAGTGTTTTCCTCCTTGTTTCCATCTTCATCGATTATAGTCAATCATTTTGGCAATTAATGTTCCACGTACAAATGCCGTTAAGCATACAGTAATATCCATTCAATACGTTTATACCATTCCATACACAAAGTTATCAACGTAACCAATAAAAGGGCTACTTTGGTATTATGAATCATCAACGATAGATTACTGTTTACAATGCACTCTTATGGTAACTAAGCCCGTAGGAAAAGGATCATTTCAATACCCCATTATATCATCACTCAAAGAATGCTTAGTGCTAATTTGATTTCCTATGAATGTCAGTGACCACCTTTTGACATCCTTGCAAAATCCAAACTACAAATGGGCATTTTTGTACGAGTCACCCATGACACATGAGTAATGACAAACTAGTAAGAGTAATTGAAGTGAATGAGACAGGTGGTAAAAAGACTTTCAGAAACTCTATCCATGTGGTATCTATAATATAAGAAAATATGAAACATATGTACGACATTTCATGATGAAGAACTCTACATATGACGTTAGTTTGCGTTTTTAAATTATAATAACTTATATTACTAAGAATATAGTAGAGAGTTGTAGAAAATTGAGCAGAAAAACAATGACGGCTCTCGTTCATTGCAAGCCTACAACTTAATCTATGAAAACTGCACTTCTATACACTCAACTACATAGTGCATTGGAGACAATTGGCAAATTCAGTGTATTTATATTCATTGCATATATTCAGTTATAACTAATGTGATGTTGAAGAAACAAACCAAAAATCAGTAGCATCAACAAAACCATTGAGATTTTCACAAGAACAATAGAGATAAATCCAAAAACAAATTATCATTTATCGTCAGTTTAGTCACTTACATTTGTAGTTTCCAGCCGTAGAATTTATTTTCATACATTATATCGAAACAAGTAGCTACGTGTTTAACACATTTAAAACGGGTTTTTCTCTCTGAAATTTATTTTTGCTGCTGCTATCAACATTTAGGATGTGATACTGATAGTATATATCTGTACATCGTGGCTTTCAAATAACTTGTCAAAGAGGAGAGTTGAAGGCAACAACTTTATTTTGATTGCCACAATCACAAATCTTTATACTTGTCGTCTAAGTGTAAAGTCTTGTTCCATCTCATATGAACAACATTTACTTTCCATAACGCCTCGTGGTTTATATGTGGCTTGAAGTGAAAGTTATCTTTATAAATAGTGTTAAGCATGTCATTATATGTATTTGTTCAACATGATTGTTCAACCCTCTGGGAGCCGTGCCTTTTCAAAAGTTCTTACACATCTCATTTGGTGATTGTCGCCTGTGAGCATCAACGGCCTCTAGAGGATTAAAACTCATTGTCTTTACTTGAAAAAATTACCGGGTATCTATCAAATCTAATTTTTAAAAATAAAACGTATTGTTGCCAAACAAAAGAATTATGCTCTCCCTACATTAATGTACGTGAAATGCTAATAGCAATTGACCATTTTTCAGCGATAATACGCCAATCATTTATTAATTAAATTTATTAAGCCTATTAAATAACGCAAACATTATGATTTTGGGCTTGAAAATGTTGATGACTTCAATCAGAACGCCTATAAACCATTCTTAGAACCTCAAATTATCAAGATATGACTGCACGATTGTATGATAATTTGGTCAAAATTAAAGTCTAGTTTCTAAATTCATTAAGGTCTTATGAATCCTAACCTACTCCACAACATCATGCATCGTTACTTATGCATAACGACCTTAAAATGCAAAAGAAATTGTAAGATTTTAACAATTTTTATATTTAAATGAGTTGAACGTGGTCAAGACGTGGTCTCTTATATTGACAACTGAAGATTTGGTCACAAAATCCTAATTTAAAGATGATTTCTTTTGTTTGTATTCAAATTGCAAATAGACCACCGTGATCCTTAATGATAACCTCATATTATTTCAAACAAAACTTAACACATATGAACTAATTTGAGTTCTTCAAAACCTGGATCATGTTTTTTCATTCTCCACTTTTTAACTTTATAGAATGTAGTCAGTTTTTATATTCCAATGTAAATGTTTACATATACAAATGACGCTATAAAATGTTCTTTTAATAACTTTATATTATCCATTTATGGTGTAACCTCCATATTTAACAAATACAGTGCAGACGTCATGGACATCCTTTCTGAACATATTTCTCACTCTAAATTAAACCTTTTTAGTCGCGAATAGTAAAATCCTTCACATTACAAAGGTTATAACAAGACCTGTTGATTTCTTCCATAAATATTTCTTACTTCGCCAGTAAATACAAAGTACTTACATTTTATCTCTTCAAAGTTAAAGCGACCTGACTTACGTTAACGTAAACACGTACGAATTTAAATATTTTAACGCTTCTGAAATTAAATAGGGCACAGAGTAATGATTATACAGAAGGGTCACTCAGGTGTACAACGCGTCCTCATGTCGACCATTATTCCAGCCAGATGACTAGGATTTCTCGCTTGTTTCCAACCAATAAAATTACATGACGTCAATACTGAATAATGATTCAAGTACATTTTGACTTAAAAAATAACTTCGGATCATTTTAAAGGTTTGGAAAAAGTCAAAAACTTTAATCATCTGGCTGGAATAATGGCGGCCACCATGCGCGGCATGACATGCGCGAGGACAAAATCATCAAAGGTTCCGACACGAGTGACTCTTCTGTAAATTCTTATACTGTGTTAAGGGTTAGAGCATGATCACGTATGTTCTATGGGATTAAGAGTCCCGAGGATTAAATAGAGATAACTTTATCTAATGCGAGGGTCTCTTAATCCCATATGACACGAGTGATTAAGCTCTAACCGTCTTAGAACATGACCAAAGAATGAGGGATTGTTTATGGTAGTGAATTTAAGGCTTCGTCTACACGTATGCGGATTCCTTTGTACCTGTAAACATTTTGTTTTGGATTCAAAACTTTACGCGTCCACATGTATGTAAATTTGATGTGTTTTTGTGTGTCCACACGTAGCTGCCAAAACGATACAAATACCTAATTATTGCTTACAGAGCATGCGCTTTTACGAATAATGAGCTGGCTATAAAATGTCGAATTATCCGACAAAAACTAATGCATCAAGGTCATCAAAGGTAAGAATGAAGCTTTTATGTTGACAGATGATGAAGTGGACCTTTTTCTGAGATCTTTTTTAGAATATGAAATAGCAAAATGTTTAAGGACATATTTCTGACAACTGGCATTGAAAAACCGTATCAAAACTGCTCTCCCTCTTCCATAATTCTTTTGATAATTTAAGACGGCAAAAATCAATTGCATAAACGCAACAATGCTCGAAAATAGCACAGTTAAAATCAAAAGAATGACTTTAGGCGCCATTTTAATCCATAGGATAGCGCATGATTAATGTGGATTGAATTGGGACAGCAGTGGGTAGGTAGATATTATATTTCATCGATTTACGTCAACGTTTTTAAATCCTTTCGGTTACAGTGTGTCCACACGTGTCTGGATTTGATGCGTTTTCAAAAGTTTCCACTCTGGAGACCGTTTTCAAAAGTTTGCATTTACAGTAGGCGTTTTCGCTTGATACGTGTGTCATATTTGGGGTTAAAGTTTCTGAAAAGTATTCTTCACCAAAAAAAACAAAGAACTCTGAATATTTATCGCTGTTGTATTGTTTCTAAGGTTGCAGTACATGAAGTAGCAATTGCTACTGAATAATGTCGTTTACTGTACAATTTATGTTTAAAAAACCTTTCACTGTCTTTCACATTTGCACTCAACCTTAGAGAAAACAGAATTTAAGTACAAAAAGACACAAAATATATTTCTTCTGTTGTATAATGACTCGATAACGTCAAAATTTAAACACTGAAAGTGTATTTATACATTTAAGCATGATATTTAAAACTTTTTCAATATAGTAAATGTCAACTTTTAATAAAATTGTCTGTGAACTAATTTATAATCGAGGCGAAAATAAATTCCTTTTAATACAACGAACGATGATTCACATTCTATAAAACGAATAATATTACTAAAAGTATAAAATGAACTTAAGGTCTGTTGCAAAGGTAGAACTTTACATAAACCAAACGCCTTAAAGACAAAAGAAAATGAGATGAACTTCCTCATTATTTTTTGTTTTAAATACGTTCGGTTCATGTAAAGTTGGACGTTTGAACTAGACCTTAGACTGTCTTAACTACTTTAGAGCATATTACAAAATCACGAGTTATTTATGTTGTGGATTTTAAATTAGTTACGAGGTAATAATCCAGATAAATATTTATAGTTTACTTTATAATTTAACGTTGTATTAAAAATTTTAGTTTATTCATAATAAAATTAGATTATTTCTGTGATAACTTGGTATCATATAGTGCCTAAAATAAAAGATAATGTACTTACTGGTTTGAATTCTTTGCTTTTCTGCCATTTTCTGGATTTTTAAGCTGTAAAAAGAAAACATTTGAATCATTTTAGAAACAATCCGAGTTTAAAAATAGTAAATTATTAACACAGAAAGACGCAGATCTTTCAAAGAAAAAAGGAAGATAAAAAACTTTTTACCATTAACTAATTGATACATTGATATGTATAATATATGGATAGTATTCATTGTTAAAAATTTAACGTGAAGTTGTGCAGAGTGTATGCCCCACATTTCTTTAAATATATATTGACGATGTATAAAGCATTTTCTGCTTTCATGAGCTTTATATGTTTCCTATCGCTTTTGTTGATCTTGGACATTTAAAAAACATGAAGTGATACTTCTAGTGAAAACATCAGATCTGATTCGTGTTCATACATAGCTACTGAAAATGGGATGTATAAGCTTGTACAAGCCGAGAAAACATAACTTAAGGCGTTGAAATTCTTTATCGGTCTTCCTGTACAATTGATAAAAATTTTGCTTGACTCAATGCTTTGTAAAAGGAATAAAAACGCGAAAACTGTGATTTTCTACCACAAAAGTATAGTAAAGTTGGTCCTACAGCCCCAATCGAAGGTCATAAGTAAATGCGCACACTTCCGGCTTCAATTTTCCTATATTTTATACATGGTGCGCTATCCATATATTATAAATATCAAAGGATTTATACCTTACTTGTTGACGAAGCACTGATTGGCTAAAAATTTAAGAAAGACAACCAATTGCAAACTATTTTATAACAGCCAATACGCAACGGTGAACATTTAACGAAATACGAAGGAGGGGAGAGAATGAGGAGACATGTGACTCAGTTATATGGAAAGTAAAAAATGTCCTCAAGTTTCTGTATCCAGAATATATATTTATCTATAGTATAGCTCATGCATTTCAAATGTTTTATAGATAAACTAAAACGTCCATTTCAATATAAGACAGTTTCATTGTTGCATACAGTACGTATAACATTTTAATAAGTTTAAAAAATCCACTATTCAGTGTAACGTAATCATGGTTTCGTGCTATAAACCATTGAACTAAAATACATCTGGAACGCTACCTATAATAGAAAAGTCTAACAAATTGTTGAAGCTAAATTTTAAACCCAGACACGCGTGTGTAGTCAATCAATTTTCAGAATCTCGAAACACTACACACGCGTGTCTGGGTGTAAGATTTGGCTTCAATTATTTCCTTCAGGTAACGTTTCATGTATTTTAGTTCAATGCAACAAACACAATCCTGTGAAAACTATATATTTATACACAACTTAACTTTATATACTCACTCTATTTGTTGGTACTACAAATGCATCTATGACCAACCATTTTTGCTTCAAGATTTCAACATCTTTATCTGTCAGAGGTTCACGAATACGTAATTTGACTTCAATCTTTCCACCAATCACCTTGCGACCTTTCTCAGGATCCGTAAGCTGCAATTGTAATTAAGTCCATTTACGACAGCAATCGTTCTTACGTACGTAAATTTTGAATCGAGATAACATGTATTTTAAGTGACATTATGTATGACAGAGTGCTGCCACTCGTAGGGGAAATCCCGTACAATAGGGGGATTTAGTGTTTCGTAGGTGGTAAGGGGAAACCTACGGGGAAAGCTGTAAAATGTAGGGGATTGTAGGGAGAAAAGAAAATCGTTTAAAAATGAGCCTCATTTTTGCCCAAAATACTCTTTTCTTCCTGTGCTCTCACCATTTGGCAAGTGATTGTAACAGAATCTTTCTTTTGGCACATTTTGTGACCATATATGGCAATAGAAGATCAGCAACTTAGATAAACTCAGTGTGTCATTTGCGCCACCTGCATGTCATTACTTCCTACGCCAAATTACTAACTTTGTCGTCTAGATGTTCTTTGTTTTCAATGAATCTTTTTTTGTATGCATTTCTTAAAAACAGACTAAAGAATTCAATGGTCCGACGCGACGTAGGTATATAATAGGGGGTATAATGTTGTATAGGGGGAAAGTAGGGGAAAACAAAGAAAATCATTGTAGGGGAGGTAGGGGGGAAATAAAGTTTTCGTAGATGAAATGTGGCAGCACTGACGTATGATTTGTTTATCAAATAATGGAGAACTAACTGGAAAACTAGTTCTAGTCCTTTTTCTGTCTTCACAGATCACGTGGCAGACATTAAGAAGATGGTGAAGTCTGAAATGCTATATTGGGTAAACATGCCTATATGTGTACAAAGCTTATACTATACGCGTATAGTTCGGCATTTTTGCTTACCGAAATGTTGTCTTCAAATTTTAGCGGGTGGGTGGCCGTCCAGTTATATATAGTTCAACGATTTAAACACAGTTTCTGCAATTATTAATTCATAAAGTTCAAAAAAATACCACGCATTACTTACATTAAGACATTCGTGAATTTCACATCTATTATCAAACGGTGATAACTTAAAAGAAGCTTGACCCAGCGTCTTGTCACCTTTCAGAAATCCTCTAAATGGTTTGAGCATTTACTGACGATAAAAAATATTTCACATAATGTAAAACAATGAAACATCCATCTCACGTACGACAAACCTGTTGTATTTTATTTCAAATTTCACACTTTGTCGTCGAAATATTCTCGCCAACGATCGGTTTTTTTCTGTCGATAGATATCTTAAACTTTTGATCAAATTCTATACGAAAAAAACAGCGTAATTGATCATCGATGTAGAATAATGAATTTAATAAAGGGGGGGAAGATTCTAGCATATCAAAAAAGCTTACAATCACAACATTGGATATTATTGACGTCTCGAGAACTGAAGTAAAACGACCATTCTGTCTCTTGTAAAAATACTCCTCCCCAGTCCCCCTTGCCACTCCAATAACAACAACATAGGATATTAATGACGTCATGAGTTCTTAAGTAACACGACCATTCTGTCTAAAGCATTGAACTAAAATACATGGAACGCTACCTGTAATACTAAACCTTAACTATTTTTGAAGCCGTGATTTTACCCCAGACACGAGAACTTTACCCAGACACGCGTGTGTAGTCAATCAATTATTACTCCGCGAGAGAATCTCAAAACACTAAACACGCGTGTCTAGGGTAAAATCTCGCGTGTCTGGCGTAAGATATGGCTTCAATTATTAGCTTGAGGTAGCGTTCCACGTATTTTAGTTCAATGGTCCATAGTAAAGCAACTCCTCCCCAGTCCCACTCACCCCTCAATACAAGATCATGCACGGATCCAATGCTATATGATATCATTCATTTCGAATAAAACTTACCAGGATTAATGTTGTGTTTGATGGTTTCCGTGAAGCCAGTTTCAAGTTGATCCTAAAGTTGAGTGATTCTAAAATTTAGTGTAGACAACTAACATTGATTTAAGAAAAGTGAGAAAGTGTTTGTTACATGAGCAAAATCTGTCGTTTGCAAAACATAGAATTTGTTCAACGGTAATGAGAACAACTGCTTGAACAATGATTTTATTATCTAACCAAATTGTTAACAATGCTTCTATTGTTTGTCACAATTGCACGCTCTTGCGTTGAGTCTAATCATGCAAAGATGTCAATTCACAGTCATGTTGGTGAATCATTGTAGTGTGAATGTGATTTTTTTATAAAATAAACACAATGAAACACGTGCGCTGATTGGTCTAGAGCCGTGTTTACATTAACCTGTGCAAAACACATCTGAGCTCAAGCAATGAAATCAATTTAAACTATCAATCATTCAAAGAGAATTTGCAAATCGATCATGAATACATTTTAGAGGAAAAATTAAAATGTTTATCTTTTTCGCATTATTGTTATTTTATAAAAGAAATAAAAGATGTTTTTCGTGTTTGCACAGGCTTATGCAAACCTCGGAGACGTTTGTGAGAACTCTAGAGCTTGTGGAACCCTCGACCTTCGGTCTCAGGCTTGCACTGATCTGCTCTCAAAGGTCTACTTGGTTTGCATAAGCCTGTGTAAACACAGTAAACATCTTTTATTTCTTAAATAAAACATAAACCAACTTACGTTTAAAAAGGGAAATTCATAGGACACATACACTTTCATATCGTCTTTGTTGTAGCCTTGAAGTATATTGCAAATTTTTAAAGATTGATTTTTAAGGTTTATAAATGTATGTATCAGATCAAACATCCATTGTTTGACCTGACACTTATTAATCCTCTAGACACCTTATTAATCCACCATATTTTATCTTAAATCCTAAGCACAAAGATTTTAATTCAATTTAACAATGATGAAAGAAAGACATATTTACCTGAAGGAAGTGAAATATTGATGCATTTGACGATTCTTAATTCACAATCCTGGTCACCCAAATCTGTATTCGATCTGTCAGGTTGAAAATAAAATAAACATAAAATAATTATGTTAGTGTTTGTTGGCTAAACTGTCAGGTTGAGAATAAAATAAACATACAATAATTATGTTAGTGTTTGTTAGTTAAAGGTGTTCGTGAAATTACTGCACTAAAAGCAACAAATAAAACTAACTTTACATACAGTAGCGTAGTCAGTCCTGATTTAGTCCTCTAACCCAAACGTTAAGAACATTATTATGTTAGAACTAAACGTTGGGATGTTGATGGTTTGAGTAGGTAAAAGAAGATGCACAGGGTTGCATATGGTGTAAATGCATGGTAAGGAAAGTTTTTCATAGGGTTTAAATACATAGGTGAGAAAAGGAGTTTCAGGGTTTAAATGCATAGGTGAGAAAGGTTACATAGAGATTTAAATACATAGAGTGAAAGGTTACATAGGGTTTTAATACATTAGGAGAAAGGGTTTCATAGGACAAATGCATAGGTGAAAAGGGTTACTGGGGTTTAGATGGGTGAGAAAGGGTTACATAGGGTTTAAATACATAGGTGAGAAAGGTTACTGGGGAGTTTAGAATGGGTGAGAAAGGGCTACATAGGGTAACTTAGCATCAGAGAGGGTTCATAGGGTTGAAATACATAGGTGAGAAAAGGTTACTTTAGAGGTTTAGATGGGTGAGAAAGGTTAAAAAGTAACATGAAGCAACTCGCGAGTGTCGAATGGCGAGTGGGCGGGATGACTCACGATGTAGTTGCAAGAACACTTCAGTGAACCTCCAGTATTTGAAATTGACAAAGAGATAATCTTAAGTGTAATGACAAGTAAAATTCGTTCAACATTTTGAAGGCAGCGGTTTTATATCTTTAATGAAACATAGGGAGCAAAACGACTATTCATTTGAAGCAATATCTCAGGACCTAATGACGTTAAAAATCTTTTGAATTTTTACAAAGCATTTTATAACTTCACATTTTCATAGCAAAACATTATTCGTAAAGCGGTAGAGACCATAGAGAATGTATAGTAAATGGCACGCAATCAATGAGTAAATCGAAATAGCGCTCAAACATTTTCTTCTAACAGTCTTAGATTATGGACATATATAATCTTAGGTAAGAATGCATTCAAAAAGACGAATATTCTTTAAAGCTAAATATTTAAGAAATGTAGCTATGCGATGAGTGTACGTATAATCTTTTGAGTTCGGTTCTGAAAGAACTTCGTTGACCTGGAGTTTTGGATGTAGTCGCTATTGATATAAAGGCCATAGACATTTAATAGCAAGAACGATATAAGACCACGTGTATAGTAAATGGCTAGAACTTTTGCGATTCACTTGCCAGTAGAAATGTTTCAAATATGATATTGGTTTCTGAAACAATTTCATTGACTTCACGCCGACAAAAATGAATGAGATGGTGTGATTTTACTTGTCACTACAATAAAGACTATTTTTGTCCCTTTCAAATACTGGAGAAAGAAATTTTTGAGAGTTATTTCGATTCACTCGCAAACAGCGAGTCACTTATTCACTCGCAAACTTCTCACACTCGAGAGTGACTCGCAATTGACTCGCCATTCGATACTCGCGAGTCAAGTCATGTTACTCGAGGTCGGTACTGTAGAGTTTAAATATATAGGTAAAAAAGGGTTGCACAGGGTTTAGATAGGTAAGAAAGCGTTACACAGGGTGTAGATCGGTGAGAAAGGGTTACACATGGTTTAGATAGGTAAGAAAGGGTTACACAGGGTTTAGATAGGTGAGAAATGGTTACACAGGGTTTAGATAGGTGAGAAAGCGTGGCACACAAACACCATGACTCTTTTCCTTCTTCCTCACCCTAACAAATCCCTCACCTTAAGTATTAACAAAACCCTATTTATCCTAACTTCACCCCACAGTGTCCAACACTGAAAGAAATTATGCCAAATTATGAAATCTCAATTGACATTAAGAACAGAATATAAAACGTTTGAAACGAAACTATTACTAGTTTAAAATTTATTCAAAATCCACTCAAAATAAAAGAAAAGACAAAATACATTTATTCAATGGTTTTTAAAGATTAAAATAAACACAGTAAGATAATAATCACCTGACGTTATGAAATGTTCTGTTTTCATAATGATAACGTGGAGGAGGATTACCATGTTTGAAAGAACTTTGTAAAGAATCGTAATCATGTCAACAGTTTATTGCCAATTTCTCAAACCTTAAATAAAAGTAGAAATAAGTACAAAATATCTCAAATGTTTCGAAAGGTTCTACTTTGTTGTGATTGTAAGCTTCCCCTCATTTCGTAAAAATCCCCCCCCCCGGCAAAAAAAGAAACTGACATACAGAAACAAATGGAGATTTCACCTTTATATAAATCGGCCAGAAGGACTGGGTCCAGTTATGTCATGATTATGTACACGCCCCAGGGGGGCAGCAATAACATGAAAAAAATGAGCAACTAAAAACATTACTTTGGACAAATCCATGATGACAATACACAATTGACATTCACACACAGACAAATTTCCTGTACACACAATATATGATGACGTATGAACCTGACAACAAATATAGAAAACCTGACTTTTACTCCTCACTTTATTCTGGAGATGACTACCACTAAGAATTACAAAACATCAATTGACATCAACAACAACAATCCTTCTTATGACTGCACAAATCTGAACAATCTACATCTACAAACATGTAACAATACTCCAAGGTTTAAATAATTCTCTTTATTACAACCTAAAGAGTAGTTGCGGCCTACATAAGAAACAAAAAGTAACATATTACATGACATTAAATAATTTAATAGAAATGCTTATTACTGTTATTACAGGCAAACTTTATTCTAGAAAATTTAAGGAGGCGATGCAAATTTGATGGAAAACAGCAAAAGTTGGAAAATTAGCCATTTTTACCTGTTTTAAGATGCTGCATATACATGCCGTAGTTCTCCAGGAAAACCTTCGTGGCGCGCACTTTGTGATCTATCCACCTTGTCCCACTTGCTTTGATGGGCTTATAGACAGTTTCTCCATACACTTCAGCAAGTTTTTTCAGCTCTCTCAGTTTCTTCGGTGACTTCTGGTACAGAGAAAACAGTTGACGCATTATTTCATCTACTTGTGCAAAAAACGTAGCATTGAATGCGTCGGCAGCAGCAATTCTGGACGGTGATTGAAGCGGTGGACGACAGTGAACCAAGGAGCGACTTCTTTTAGACGAGCTTCTAAACCAGTATTTCTCCCCATATTAAAACTTGCCCCATCTAGACCAGTTGCAGCTAGTTTCGATTCAAAGTTTGTAATGCCAAAACGGGCAAAAGCTTCGTTCATAGCTTCCTTCAGCCCTGAAGCATTTTCGTTTTCAACTGTTTCAACTGACATCAATTAGCAAGTACTATGACCGTTCTTATTCACATATAACATGTAAAATAATTATTGTGATTTTACACTGGTATCGGTGCTGCCATCGCACAAAACTGACAAATATCTTTAAATACCTTTAAATCTTCATCAAGATTTCCTTTTATGACCCCAGAAATGTGATCTGACAACTCAGCGGCTGATCGGTCTGTTCGATACGATTAACCTAGATCAACGCCTCCCTTCTCCAGGAGCTTGCAAATGGGGATATACTTTTTGAAAGGCAACTCAGAATTCATATGATTCACCACTGCGTTTTTCTTTACAACAGCTTATCCTGTTATGAATGTGCGAGAGAAATTTTTTGCGCTTGTTATTCTGTCCTCTTTGTTTCCACAAACTTTACAGCGCAGTGAATTCACCACTTGGCCATCATTCTCGTATTCAAGCCAGTCGGCATTTAATGTTTCTATCCATTTTTCTACTGTGTTAATTTTGCTAGTACAAACTTTCGACGAAGAAGCCATCGTGGCAAGAAAAACAAAGCGACAAGAGAAACATGCACCGCATATAGCTACTTTTGTCTTCTGATTATCTAATATGTTTTATTGATGCTTACTTATAACAAAAAATATTTTTGTCATATTACAAACTATGCGTAAAAGCAAAAAATACGGTTAATCAAGGTTGCCAGTTTGGTTTCGCTCCCAAAAATCTTTTTGGCTTATTTTTCAAATTTCAAAATTTTAAAGGTTTTTTTAGGAATCAGAAGGAAAATGTCTCCTGATTTTATCGAAAACACTCAAAATAGCTATGATGCCAAAAAAAGTAATGATGCACAAACTACAAAACAGCGCAATGCAAAAATTAATATTTATAAATGAATTACATCCGTATATGGTCAGAAGAACCATGTATGTCAACCAGTATGTCGACTGTTGACAGACTTTCCAACTCAAAGTGACGACGTTTTTCAATTTGATGACATTGTGTCAACATGTCCAATTACATGGCCTAAGATTTTAAAAACTTTTTTTTTCAATATATGTGATAGTAATTAATAAAAAACTTTTTTTGCACATCGTTTGAAAAAGTGATGTGCAATTATTTTCATTTTAGCCAAAACGATGTGCAAATTGCACATTGCACACCGTTAATTCGCACCCTGATAATATGTACAGTAAAATACAGAATTGTGTTTGTATTCATGTCTTTTAGTATTTTCCAGTGATTTATCACTTATGACATAAGTTTAAAACTATGTCTACATCAATGGAATGGAATTTGAAACCATATCAATATCAAATTACTCTACTATTTGTATTGTATCAACGGTAAAAGAAATGTTATGTTACAAAGAATTTTATAATAAAAAAAATTTTACTAGCAAGTATACTTACCCTTCATCAATCAGCTTGCATTATTTTGATCAGAAAATAATACAAAATAGGCATCATGAAATTTTATGTTTCTTGATTCTGTTACATTACAAAAATATGACAATATCAACTTCTTAAATACAGCTAAATAACCTACGGCCATTTCATACTTCCATTGTTACTACAAGACTATACATATGTGGAGGAAAGAAAATTATCAAACAATGTTTTGCATCTTTCAAAATGTTACAACTGTCTGTTTAATAGTCCGTTCACACTTTATATGTTCTTTTGAGTTTATTATCTAAGGTGAACTATTTGTTTTTGTATTTATATAAATGGGGCAATGAAGGTGTTCATATGCACAAAACAATTGGTTTTTAGCAAAATTTTGAACCTCACATGAAAAATTTACAACAAAAATTCAACAAGGTAATTAAAGTAATATCAACTCAGTTCTACTTTCAAAACTAGCGATAAACTATGGCTATGCAAAGAATTAATTAAAAACTACACTCTCGAAGAATTCACAAAACATTTACACAAACTGTACGACCAAAATAAGGAAAATGAAAGAATTTTGCTACGAGTTATCAATGACAATGAATGAATGTCGATGATGCCACGTTCGCATTATTTTGTCGAGCTATGAACTATAACAATATTCTCTGTTTAAGTTTTTATTAAGTAAATAGTGATGTCGGATGAATAGCTTTAGAACATTGAGTTTTGATGTCGTTAAACATTCACGGTGTACATTAAAAACACAATTGATTTTATTAAACTTTCTGATGATCAGTGAAAGACTCTCAATGAAAAACAAAGGTTTCAAAAGAAATAAATGATCATAAAGTTCCGAAATTTTCATAGCGTGACTAAACTTGAGAACTGACTACGCTACTTAACACAATCGCTTTTATAGAAAATTGATCGATGGTATTTCAAATATTAGTTGTTTATATAAATACCTTGGTAGAAGCTTTCAAACTTTGGAGATACTTGTCTTCTTTGGCGATAGAGAAAACTTCAAGCAAAGTACAAATGATTAAATATGGTTTAATACATTGAAACAAGAAGGAAAAGTTTTTCCCTCAAATAAAAATGCAAACAAGCAAAAAACAGGAAACATTGAGTGCGGTACTTCATGTTAGAAACGATATAATATCTTTTAAAAGGCTCCTTTGATGAGGTATAAACTTCTCTGCACTAGGTTAAATTAATTTCTCATTTGGCATTTTCCGTTTTTGTTAAGTACTTTCTGTAAAATATGTTAGTTAAATCGTAAGGGTTACAAACGTTGGTATCTTTGGTTAAAATGGTTGAACGAGCATACAGATTTTGTTCGAGTGGTCTCCTTGATTTTGGTAAAACTTTTGATTCAGGTTCAAATAACGTCGTAGTTTAAAATTTTTCTTTTCCAATCTGACTCCAGTTACTTGGTGTCTCTTGCTTTTTGTTGATCGCATAAGTTTTATGCTTCGTGCATCACTTAGCGACATTTCTTTCTTTTAAATTCAATGAACGCTTTTTTAAATAGATTATTGTGTTGTAATTTTTCTTTAGAAACTGAAATATTTTAGTATGCATTTAAAAAAAAATAAATAGTGAAAACCAACTATTTACTTGCAGCATTTGACCTTTTATATTGACAACAAAAAATTAAAAGATTTAATCACAAAATCCTAGTTTAAACATGATTTTTTATTTATCTTCAAATTGTAAAAATAGACCACCGTGATCCTTCATAATAACCTCATACTCATGCAAACTAAATTTAAAACTTGTCAACTCTAATTACGAACTTTAAAACCTGGATCATGTTTTTCCATTCTCCTCTTTTGCATTTGCTTCTTCGACAACCTTAGCGGTAGTCATCTTCAGAGTCAAACTGAGCCTTGTTGACTGACGTTTCGACAACCTTAGAGGTAGTCATCTTCAGAGTCAAACTGAGCCTTGTTGACTGACGTTTCGACAAGGGGTATTCTCAGGACTTGTATAGTCCATTAACATTATGATAAATTTTATTTTAAAAATGAAAATAGAAATTGAGTTTATCATTCTTCAATATTTTTAATCAAAAAGTTTTACTCAAAAATCAATTCTTAAGTTCAAATGAACGTGTCAAAATGGTAAAAAGCTTTATTCATTAATTTTCATCTGATTATTTACATGACGTCATTGATGTTTTGACCATTAAACCCAATGACATGATACATGATATCAAGATGGTGTTTTATAAATGTGAATTTTAACATCATACAAAACTTGTTTCCACGATATTAACATGCGTAACCCACGGTTTTCAAACATTGATTTGCCCCGGCGGCTCGTGGCCACTCAGTGTTTATCACAATGACGTCGTACCCGTGTATCTATAACTGTATAGACAACTGTTAAATGTTATCTATTTGTTAAATAAAAATAACCAAATTATCTAACCATACATTTTTATTAAAAAGTAAATTATCAACATGAAATTTGTTCGGAAGTTCAATACATAATAATAAGTTTGACAAAGCATCTTACAGTAGTAGTCAAATCTAGAGGATGCCCTGTTTAAATGACAATTCATTTATGAAGATTACAAGTAGAATCTTAGAAAGGAATAAAGAAATATTCATGATCAATTAGTATAGAAGCCGTTCTTTTTAAATACAAGTCATTTGTCTTATAAAAGCAATTATATACATCGTTTCAGATTATTGCAAAACATAGATAATATTTTACATTCTTGCTGTAGGAGGTAAAACAATTGCAAAATTAGTACAAATAAATTTTAAAAGATCGTTTACCAAAATTGGTCCAAATTTGTTTTGTAAATATAGATAATTTCTTAAAAGATTGCCTGGTAGAATAAGTATATTCTTCTGTAGAAAGGAAATATAGTAGGTGGAAACAAGCAATCATCGACCATCAACATCTATGTGCAATTTTCTCAACAGGTTTTTGAATTTACTATTGAAGTTTGAGTTGATGTATTTATTCAGGAACATTAAGTTTTAAAAATTGAATTCTGTAGTTGTCAACAATAGCTAAAGTTCCTGTATTGGAATGCATAGTTATAATAGGCATAAAATAACGTTCGCGAAATTCAGCGCATACTTCACCACTCTTTAAATCTACAACAAACAATGACAAACCCAACACTCCAATGCAATAAGATTTGTATACGGCTAGGTTGGATTTAAAATAATATTCACTGACATCATACATAATCGCATTCACATCACCATTCTCGTGAAAATTAATTACATAAATGCCAATAATTTTGGTGCCTTCGCAAAATGTTATGACTGCTTGTTTACTATCACTTATACAGCAGTTGAACTTCAGATCATTTACAGTTTCCTGTTCTTGAACAAATTTTTCAATGACATCTGTTATGGGTATTTCTGCAGTATTCCAAGGTTTCAAGTAAAGTTTTTTGTTGTTATTTCTCCATTTCCATAATGTATATTCTGTTTTGTATACAGTTAAAATAACAGAATTATCAGGTGATACAGCTGCTGCTTCAAATTTTGACCTATCAAAAGGAAGTCTTTTGTTGTATTGTATCTCACCCTTGGTAATTCTAACAACTTGAACAAACTTCTTTGTCAGCCACAAACTAAGACATCACCAAATGTTAAAATTTCTTCAGGTTCAAATCCAATGTTTAACTGCTTCATCTGCGTGGAGTCTTACAAAATTTTTCAGACAAGTTGATATCTTCATCAAGATGATCAGAACCATCCCATATCCACAGTAAAACCATCTGACCACCAACATCCCAATGTATTCTTCGAAGTGGCATTGGTACTGTTTGAATAATGAGTGCAACGTTCAATGCTCAAATATGAATGTTGACGTGGTCACCAACAGCAAAAGCAGCAAAAAGATCCATCCGGTGAAAAACAACAACATTTAATTTCAAATTCACCAAAGAATAAATGAAGGTCTCCAAAGATGATCAGTTTTGAAAATTTTTAAGCTTGAAAAACACGGCACAACGTGAAATTCCTTCAACGAGATTGGAAGGACTTTTGTAAAGATTCCTATAAGCATTGGACACCAACATGTAGTAAAAACAAAACTCAATTTCTCTGATCGTTGTATTTTGTCAACTGAGTGATTTCAGAGAAAGCTTTCCATTCTGGCTGTATGATAAAAATACAATCACGATAATGGTTGAGTTGTCTTTGAAATTGAAGATAGTGAATGCTTATTTTCTCTTTGAAAAACATCGATTGCCTTTGGGAATTGAAAACATAAGAAGTCTCGCCAATTCTGCAACACAGAACTCTTGAATATTTATCCAGTGTATTGTAGTTTTGGTAATCAGCAACGCAAAGCGTCGATCCATTCTTTGCAAAGTTAATGAACTCCATGCTGTTAACACATCTTTAGAACGTTCTTCGTCATCGTCTACATATTCCGCTGTAATAAACAAACCACAATCTGAGAAAGAGCAACGATTAACGACATCATCTGACTGTAAACATAATAACAAACGTCCATTGTTAACGTCCCACAACTTTACTTCAGTAGATTCATCACTAGTTACCAGTCTAATTCCGGTAGGTGAAAAGGTGCAACAACAGATGTTCCCACGTACAAAACAAAATTCTCTTGTTAATGGATTGTAATATTTGTCATGTAGGGACATAAATGTGTTTTCATCATCTATACCATCTAACCTTGAATCATCGAGTGCAGTGCCAAGAGTGCATCGTTGTTCGAATTCTGGAAGTTCAAAAATAGATATTTGACAATTTTCATATCCTACAGCAAGAAGTTCTTCATTGGACGACACACAAAGAGATGTAACGATAGCACGCAAGGGGACAGTCAAATGATGATGGTTTGCTAAATATGTTGAGTCTAAATTCTCAAACCAAACAAGCTTTCCTTGTTTTAATAAATCCCTTGCCAATAATCGTTTTTCGCTTTTGCTATCAATTCCGTTTGCAACAAATTGTAAATAAGTTAAACCATCAGCTTTTGATAACTCATATGTCATTATCCTAAACAAATGAAATAGTAGTTCCTCAAGTAAATCATTTCTCAAGAAAGTTCGTAGTGCCTTATTAATGATTTTAAGCAGTTCAGACCTAATGGTTGAAGCGTTAATGTCTTCCACACCCATTAACCTCGCACAAACCACTTTGACATCTACTGCCCAGCTAAAGTCAACATTTTCGCCACATTTTGACATATGATAGATTCCATTCTTCAAAGCATATTTAATCATAGCAGTGTTCATCTGATCTTTAAAAATGTTCATCGACTTGATTTTTTCAAACACTTTCTCACAAGCATGCCATAAGAACTTATGACCATTTTTGATCAACTGTAAACTCATGCTCTTCATAACCATCTGATTTTTTAACCAATCAATAAGAGACTTGTATTACACGGTTAAATAATCATCGTAAATTGGAAAAATTGAGATAGCACTTCTAGTATTTTAATACGATCTTAAACTTCATGTCATCAGGAAAACTGCAAACATTGAAAAGAAAGACAAAGGCAAAATACTTTGATAAGTCACCAACGCTTCAAGACATTCCGTAAAGTTTTTATCGGAAGAATGCGGTATTGGGTGTTGATAAACTTATTCAATTTAATAATATATTTAATCCTTTAATTGTTCTGTATGGAATTTACTCAACTTAGTAGGAACCAATCGTTTAATGTTCTTGACAGTTAGCTCAGTTTTTCTTTTTTAAACTCTCTTGTGCGTGGAGGCGTACAGAAACGAACCTCGCATTTTTAACTAATAACGGAGAAGCCTTGTAATCGTTATCACTGTCACCTGTCATCACTTTCATCATTGCTTCATGCTGACATCCTGCATCACATACTGTCATCACTGTCATATGAGTCATCACTATCATCCCACTGTTCGTCACCACAGTGTGAAATACGCACTTTCAACTCATGTGCTAAATGCACTTTAAGATCATTTGTTCTTTAGATCATGAGGTTAAGTTTCTATTTCACAGGATTCATGTCTTTCAATTCTGTTTGAACAGGAAGTTCTGGACGACTGGTGATGAAGATTTTAATCCATTTAGGTAGTCAGCCAGAATCATCGGTAATCAATTCCAATAATTCACTTTTGCCATCAACTTGCTCTAATCTAATGCATCAATAACCAAAAGCATTGGTTCATGATCTTCCAATAGAATGCAATGGATTATTTAACAAAACAAGGAATTTATGGTGATGGATTCTTTGGAATGGTTTCTCTGTAATTTTCATTCAGCTTAGATTTAAAATCTGATATTGTATCACATATGCTACTAGCCAATGATTCTATCAAAATTCGAGGATTCTATAATCTGATCTATTATATCTCTGCAGAAATGAGAAGCGAAACAAGTTTCTTCTTTCAGAATATCGTCGACACCTCAGCAGCAAACACACTTTTACCAACATGAAGGACCGGCAATCAAAATCCATGACATTAAACAACTTACTTCTATCGTTAAACCAAATGTCAAATTTTCAAATAACCATTGTCTAGTGCCTTCAAGGTATTTCTTTTTGAGATCTTTTATATAAGACCATTAAAATTGCACTTTCCAAGTTTCTTGAGATCTAGGCATGTTTTGTTTGCGGCTTGTGTCTTTTACTCAACAACATCATTGCTGCATCACTTGTGTAATTTCAGCTACATCAGCTTTTGTTGACATCTCATGTGTAATTTCAGGCTACATCGAGCTTTGTTGACACTAAAGCATGATCGGCTACATCCGACTTTTGTTGATGAGTTCTTTCTTTCCTCTGCGTCATTTTTCATATCTTCATGCTCTTTGTTTTCTTATTAACAGTACACCAGTTTTTCAATATTTCAATATAATTTGCAAAAGCTGCATCAGGACTTGGACGAGCTTCCTTTAATCATCTATTTCAGATTGTTGAATACCCAGACCAACCAATGCTTTTGAAATTTCCTGCCACAAGTACTCAAAGTCACTATCATCTAAACTAGTTTTGGTTACGTGACCATACACTTTGTTTCGATAAAACTTTATTCTTGCAATGTTTGCTGAGGTTGAAGTATCTGAAGAGGAAGGAAGATTATTCCATCCACCATGTGGCGTTGTTAGACCACATATGTTACGCAATAAGACAGTCAATAATGTGATGTCAAAGTTTTCAATGTCAGGTGAGCCAGTTGACGGGTAAAGAAGGGTCCATTGCTCTTTGCTGATGACTTTGAATTTTAGTGGTGTCAATTTACTCTTTGTAGAAGGATCATTAAGTTTATCTTTTAAGTTTGATGATTGAAGATTTATAATTATTTGCAATGTTGTTTTAAGGTTTGTGTTCCTTTATTTATCAAAAAGTTTACTTAAACGAGATCCGTTTGCTTCAAACTTCAGTTTTTGAGGTGGTGAAGCCATTTTTCAAGCTAGAAATGAAGAACGAGTTTGTGCAAAAAGAATCAATTTGCAATGTACAAAATGAGCACAACAAGATCCATTTTCCTCAATCTTTAATTTATTAGGTGGCGAAACTATTTTTTATTCTAGAAATGAGGAATGAGTTTGTGAAAAAAGGTGTAATTTAAAATGTACAAAATGTTCACAATAGTTAAAAGGATAAATTAAAAATAGTACTACAAGTCATTTATAAAGACTTGTGTGCTTCAATTCTTTCTCTCGATAAAAATTGTGTTCACTGCCTAGTGACATGACCCAGTAATTGATCTTACATCAAGGCATTAAAATAGTAGTCTTGATATAATGAAAAAACACTTAAAATGATAATATTTTCTCCTACTCGGCGCGAGAGGCAGCATATACCTTGCGATAGTAACTCCTAGTTAATAAATAATATATCTTATTTGTCTAACAATCGTGTGGTTAAGAGAAACGTCATTCTTTTAACAGGATATATCGAACTGGTTTGCTGTGTTGTATGAATATTTGCTTATTAACATTTTGATGGGACTATATTTCCGACGATTCTGTTCCAATTTAAATTTTTGCTACACTGCAGTTTAGCGGACGCCGGAAGCGCTTGTAACCGCAGGCTCGTTTTTGCTTGTGATTATAGGGTAGGGTTTGTGCCGGCGTCAAAGGAGTCCGCTAAACTGCAGTAGTCCACCATAGGATATATTTGACGTCTGTAATCACCAGTAAAGCGTATAAATGAATGATATTTTCAGCTGCACGGCTTTGACTGTAGTCACTAAAACAAAGTGCGAATTATACGCTCTAAATCATAGGTAATTGAAGAATAACATATATGTTATTCACCCATACTGAAGATTAACTGAAGAATAAGAATAACTTATTCTTCAGTTATTCTTTACTTCTTCTTTAGAGTAAGAATAAGAATAAGAATAAGAATAACTGAATAACATATATGTAATTCACTCATACTGAAGATGGCATCATGAGATGTCGAAACATGTCTATTTTCAAAAAACTTGTCGTTTGTATTAAATATGCATTAGCAATAGTGCTTTTACGAAATTATGAAAATAACGTAAATATTGACATTACTTAAAATAATTCTATTCGTGATCATTCGCATTTGCGACTATCACCGATGACACAGCCGAGGATATCACGACGAACAAACACTGTCTGCCTCACTGCCTCACTCAGACACTTTTTAAGTATGGCATAGTGGTTAGCCGCGCATGCACAGCGGCTACCCACAAAAACTAACTAGTGATAAATTATATTATTGTTATAATACAGTATGCCACATGCCTGCTCATATTGATAACACTTAAAGCGTGATTCCGTTTGAGATGCTACGAGAATTTCTAAAAAGTTAGCAATTGATGAATGTCTTCTGCATGATGAGACAACGTAAGAAAAGTACAAATAGTACACAAATCATTCATTACTTTTTCTATAAACTTTCATTTTGCAATTTCCATGTGTCCAAATGTGGAGGCGCCGGCCCCTATTATATTACTAGCTCAAGGCTAAATGCCCCTTGCCTGTCACCTCACGGCGGGCCTGGCCTGAGAGTCAGTGAAATTTTCTCGACTTTGTGTTATTACACGATTTAATTCAAGTAACTAAAACAGTTAGACACGTTGAAAAACAAAACAAGTATCTTGATTTCAGTTTCTCAGTGTACATGCTAATCAAAGTTCATCTATGAATAAATTACGTGAAAAATGAATGATGATGAAATATGTACGTTATCTGGTGTTCATTTTGATCACTTGAACATAATCTTTACTTTACACTTATACATTGTATTGTTTAATAAAGTGTAATTATATTGAAAAACAATGATAGATGATGAAATATATACGTTATCATGAGTTCATTTTGACCCCTGGAACCTATCTTTCCTTTACATTTGTACATTGTACTGTTTACTTAAGTGTAATTATATTTAAAAAATGTCACATTATGACATGGCTTCTGTGAATGTCAAGCGCATCACTGTCTCAGAATTATTTATTATTAAAACTTTCCTTCCTGTAAGAGCCGCAATTTTTATAGTAATAACTTGAAACAAAAAATGAAACCTACTTTTCTGTCGTTGTATTAAATATAGATTTAAAAGTCACTTATAGATTCATTCAAACAATTTTCATTTGGAATGGAAATAAACATTCATTTGTTTATAGTCATACTTCATACTACGCAATGCTTCAGTATAAATATTGTTAAGTTAGAAATGTAAATACAAAATTTCGGTTAACTTACGTAAAATTACCTTTGTTTTAGAAATAAGACTTCATATACGACGATCGTGTGGACAAAATTATGCTTGCTTTAGTTCTTTACATGTTACGTACCTAACAAAAGATAAAAAAATTAATATGAAAAACGAGACTACATACATATCAGTTAAAAATGGTAATCATAATTCATACATTATTGAAAAATCAACTTTTATCCATGTAAGTTTTGTTACATAAACACATTTGAATAACGAATGAAGATGAAGAGTGAGTCAGGAGATTCTTCAAAAAACAGTATTAAAACACATTAATGACGTCTATGTAGAACATTTTAGTTATATAACTAAGTATACATCACTGACTAAAAACAATTGTTATAAAAATAAAAATACATAAATAAGAACCTCATGTAGAGTACATAATAACATTGAAATTAGTCAAATTCCAAGGACTGCTGTTAAACTTATAAAGTTTCACAAGTTTTAACTCAGGAATAGAGAATCACCTATATAAGACAGGATTTGAATGCTAATGATTAAGACACGATTTTAAAACTGTGAATGGATTTTTCCTTCATTAATCAAAAATTCCATACATGTATATTCTTGCATAAGTCAGTTCATATTATAAAAATCTTTGTTATGAAATAAACTTTGTAAATCATGAATACATTTCAAACATCAACTGCAAGAAATTATAATTATTTATATGATCAATAAAGACACTGTAGATACAACAGTAAAGGAAGCAATAAAAGTAAACCTAAAACTGTTATACAAACATGATCAAAAGTATAATTTTAAAAGCACACTGTGTTGCATGAATCAACATTTCACAAAATAGATTCGGTCGCGTTCTTCCTCTGTGTGTAAATACATTCTTCCTGTGTTTAACATTTGTTTATTTTCAAATTTTCTTACTTTTAAAAAATGGTTTGTTGTATACATCTATCAACATTTTGCTAGACACACAATGATTATTAAAAGTGGCGTCAGCAAAGAAGGAGAGGTGATGCATGATTGGACATGCTATCCTCCCTACATAAATTTTCACAGATCCACCTTTTTTCCATAGACAAGTATGCTATTTCACCTCTCCCATACCTTTGAACAGGCTTTGCTTTCCTTTACCATGCAGCTTATTGTCAATAGTTAGAAAGTTGGTTATGAATTTATATATGATTTCTCATGCATGTTTAGTCATACTTTATCGAGATGCTGCTTTAGCTAATTTGTTATGTTTGTAGTGTAATTCTAAAATATCGCTTAATTTTTCTAAAATTACTTCCGTTTTAGAAGTAAAACGACTGTGTGAACAAAATTATGCTTGCTTTAGTTCTTTACATGTCACATACTCAACAAACGGATGAGAGATTTAATATAAACAACGCAACCACATACATATCAGATTAAAATGGTGATAAAAGTTCATACCTTATTGTAACATCAATCTTTTATCCTTATGAGGTTTGTTACATAAACACATTTGAATAACGAACGAAGATGAAGAGTGAGTCAGGATCTCCTTCAACAAACAGTATTAAAACACATTAATGACACCTATGTAGAACATTCTAGTTATATAACTAAGTATACATCACTGACTAAAAACAATTGTTATAGAAATAAAAATACATAAATAAGAACCTCATGCAGAGTACATAATAACATTGAGATTAGTCAAATTCCAAAGGATTGCTGCTATATCTTATAAAGTTTCACAAGTTTTAACTCAGGAATAGAGAATCACCTATCTTAGACAGGATTTGAATGCCAATGTTTAAGACACGATTTTCGAAACTGTGAATGGATTTTTCCCTTCATTAATCCATAATTCCATACATGTATATTCTTGCATAAGTCAGTTCATATTATAAAAAAATGTTTGTTATTAAATAAAACTTTGTAAATCATGAATACATTTCAAACATCAGCTGCAAGAAATTGTAATTATTTATGATTAATAAAAACATTGTAGATACAACAGTAAAGGATGCAATAAAGTAAACCCTAAAACTGTTATACAAACATGATCAAAAGTATAATTTTAAAAGCACACTGTGTTGCATGAATCAACATTTCACAAAAATAGATTAGGTCGCGTTCTTCCTCTGTGTGTAAATACATTCTTTCTGTGTTTAACATTTGCTTACTTCTCAAAGTTTCTTACTTGATAAAAAATGGTTTGCTGTATACAACTATCAACATTTTGCTAGACACAAAGAGATTAGTCAAAAGTTGCGTCAGCAAAGAAGGGAGGTGATGCATGATTGGACATGCTATACTCCCTACATAAATTTTCACAGATTCCATTTTTTCCATAGACAAGTATGCTATTTCACCTCTTCCATACTTTTGAACAGGTTTTGCTTTCCTTTACCATGCAGCTTATTGTCAATAGTTAGAAAGTTGGTATATGAATTTAGATATGATTTCTCATGCATGTTTATTCATACTTTATCAAGATGCTGCTTTAGCTAATTTGTTATGTCTGTAGTGTAATTCTAAAATATCGTTTAATTTTTCTGAAATTACTTCCGTTTTAGAAGTAAGACGACCGTGTGAACAAAATTATGCTTGCTTTAGTTCTTTACATGTCACATACTCAAAAAAGAAGATGAGATTTAATATAAATTTAGTTGTGAGTATATGATGTGTATGTGGATATGTCTATTTATTGTGTCGTTGTCTTTACTGGAACAAGCTTCTTTAAATTCGCGTGCGTGTTTAGTCTGTGCGCCCACGAGTACTTTAGTTTCTGTCCAGTAGAATGTTTGGTTGTTTCCGTGGGTATGTTCTGCCGGTAGTGAGTTCGGATCTCGACGTTTTATGGCGTTTTTGTGTTCTGTGAGTCTTGTTTCGATTTTCTTTGATGTTTGTCAATTATAGATTTTGAAATTAAATGTAGATATGATCTATGTAGATATGATTCTATTTTGGGTTGTATTGCTGACCTCGAAGGAAGTCCAGATCGGGATTTTTGCGTTTTTCGTATTGATTCTCTTTACCATACTACGCTGCGATTTGCTGAAGTGTTCGAGCTTGAAGAGGCTGTTCTGCAGTTAATTTCAAACGCAAAAGAACTTTTAAATGTCAATGTTCATCATGATATCAATCCATCTTCTTCATTGAACTGCCCTCAAGTTTTCAGTGGCACATCAGGGCGACCAATGTATGAAGTAAACGAAGATATTCTGAGTTATTTTTTGGATAAGCGTTTTACATTGAAAGATACGGCAAATCTTCTGGGAATCAGCAAAAGAACCATTGAAAGGAGGATTAACGAGTTTGGTTTATCAGTTTATAATTGTTATTCTGACGTTAACGATTCAGATCTCGAGTTGGTCATAAGAAACTCAACGAACGAGTTTCCCAATCTTGGCTACAAACGTATGTCAGGATTGCTGTTAGCAAGAGGTTTGCGAATTCAGCAGGACAGGATTCGTGAAATGATGCGAAGAGTTGATCCACAATGTACATTGTTTCGTGCTTTGTCTCTTAGAGCAGTGCACAGACGTAAATATCATGTTACTAGCCCCTTGTCACTTTGGCATGTTGATGGCAATCACAAATTGATTAGGTGGGCTACTAAAAAATACCTATTTTGGGGCGTAAATAAATCTCAGTTTTGCATACAAATGTGCTTATAGTTTCATATTTTTAGATGGAGATTTGTGACTCATGCAGGAGTAGACGGCTATTCACTTTTGCTGGTATTTATTCCCTGTAGCACAAACAATCGAGCTGATACTGTTCTAAATCTATTTTTATCAAGTTTGTCTCAATATGGACTGCCATCCAGAGTAAGAACAGATAAAGGAGGTGAAAATGTTGGTATTGCTCAATTTATGTTAAACCACCATTAGCAAGAGGACCCGGTCGTGGCAGTCATATTACTTGAAGAAGTGTGCACAACTGACGGATTTAGCGCTTTTGGCAAGATCTTTTTGTTGGTTGTACAAGTCTTTTTTATCATTTATTCTATCATATGGAAAGTAATGGAATATTGGATCCATCAAATGAAGAACATGTGTTTTCATTGCATTATGTATTTTGTCCAATAATTATCAGAAATTTGGAAATTTCCCAAGGTTACAATAGATTTCCCATAAGAACAGAAAGAAATCTATCACCTGAACAGCTATGGATCCAAGGATCTTGCTTAGCCAATAATTGAAACGACCATATACAGCAGGTATTTTTATGCAATAACTCATGGCTTTACTTTTAGACTACACTTTACATTATAATCATCAGAATGGATCCAAAGCTAATTGATGAATGTTAAAGTCAAAATCTAATTTAATGTTCAATTCACTAAGGTAAACCAAGAATTTCCACTCACCTTTACAAAAAATTATGCATGTCATAAAACAGATCAGTAGCAAGTGATTGTTCCAGAAACCAACATTCCATTGAATGAAATAGATCTTGATGAGCTGCAAAGAACCATTAATCCTTTAAGGCCTTCTAATCATAATGGTGCTGACATGTACATTGAGGTGCTTCAGTTTGTAAACACCAGACTGCACCAGGAAGACAAGTGACATTGTGAACTCACAAAACAAGAAAAGCTACTTGACCTATTGTTTGTTGGTGTCAATTTAGATAATACAAAACAAGATATGTATGGCAAGGAAGGCTATAAATTTTTCATTATGTTGATTATTCAAACATTTTAGCAGAAAACATTTTTTAGCACATAAATGCTGATGCACTGACAGAACAAAATTTAATGAAACATTAAAATATTCACTTTAAGTCTTTAACTATAAAAATGATATCCAAAACAAAGAATAAAAATATTTCAATTTTGTGCATCATCCATATTAGCTATAACAAGCTATGTTATTGCTGAAAGAGATGTATAAACTGTTCCGAGATCAAATATTGGTAAATCCTCTTGCAAAGCTCTATCCAGTTTAGCTTTCAGTTCATCAAAGTTTTCATAACATGGAAGAACTAACAAATGAAAACAAGTTCTACTTTCTGGGGCAGATTACGATTTTATGTTCTGTCAACTTTGACATGCATGGTTACACCATTTGCAGGTAGTAAATGCTTAGGTG